GAACACCATGGCAATTAGATGAGAAAAACATGCTATTTTCAATCAGCTCATAAACTTTAATTAAAAATAAGCACTTTGGCTATAACAGTCTGAAGTAAGTGCTTATAGCTAAAGACAAATATCTTAACAACAGAATTAAATTTACCTCAACCAGCACCTCAAACACATTAGTGTGCCAGACTGCCCGCCATCCAGATGGTTCAAGGACCTTCTCCAAGAACTCAGCTGTGAATTCCCTTACTTCAGAGGCCTTGCAGTCAGCTACAAACAAATTAAACACAGTAAGAACTGAGTATGCATAAAGCAGAGAGAAGTTAATAGATTCATTTACATCTACTTTCTCAAAACCAACAATAGGCAATCTCAGAAATTGAGACAGACATTCTACTTGTAACTAAAAAGATAAAAGAAGAAAAAAAAAAACCTACTCACCTAAAATGTAATCTTGATAGGCTCTGAATCGTTCATAGAACAAAAGTTGACTTGTTTGAAAAATTTCTGGGAAAAGAGTTTTTCCTTCTGGCACAAAACTTTGTAAACTAGTGACTGGCTTATCGTGGTAGCTACAATCACTGCATGACTCTTCATCTTGGAACAAACCTAAAGGAACAACAAAAACAAGTAGGCTCAACTATCCCGGGTACTTCTGTACTTACAGAGTGCTTCTATTTTCACATCCTCGTTTAGCAATTTCCAAACAAAATACACAAAAGGATTTGAGTATGAATGTTCTACTCACTTCTACCACTGTCAGAAGAAACTAGCTTATAAAACAAAAGTATCTCAAAATCTAAATTCTACTTCAAAACAATAAAAAGCTTAAGATTTTTCAAAGGTTAGGATTTTGTTGTTCTGTGAGGTTTGGGGGGAAAACAAAGGAAGACTGTTTTCTAATTCAGTGGAAATCATCCAAGTTCTCCTTTAAAGGACACAAGTGGATTTTTATTTTTACTGCTATAATTAGCAAGTTATAATAAATATCTTACAGTTGTTTTTTTCCCCAAAAAATAATTCCATTAAGCTACATTAAAAGAGGGAGCTGATAGTCCCTCTCAAAT